TTGGGATCATAAAATATGTTCTCGTAAATGCCTCAACATTGCGTTATCAGAAAAATCTAGCCTGGGATTGTGAAATTTGTTCTTTTTCTCGTCGAAGCCTCAACATTTTGTAGCTGTCGATAATTTCTCTAGCCGTTATCATCGTCTGGTCCGGTGGTAGCCTTCGTTAGAGCTTCCACTAGTTGTCATCGTTGTTAGGAAATCACGGCTCGATTGCAAGCTTTGGTTTGATGGTGTTAATGTTGGTATGGTGGTGGTAGTGGTGTTGAAGTTTGTATGTATATACATATGTTTGTATATATATGGGGGGCATTGATGACTACAATGGTGGAGTTTGAATTTTTTTTTTAAGGGTCATTTTGGTCAATTAAAAGGACTTATAACAGTTAATATTGTAATTTAATGATTTAAATGAGTCAATTCAAGAGTCAAATTACAATTATCTATTCTTATCGTGATTAAGGGTGTTGTTGTTCAAGTTTGCAAGTCTGGGGTGATTGGATCACACTCTGCCTAAGTTGTACCTACTTGTTTTTATTGCAAACCTGGGGGGTGTGAGTACAAATTACCTTAAAAATAAAAACAAACACAAACAAAGATTTGCAAATGGTAAATAGGTCCAAAAAAATTTTAAAAATAAAAAATTTATAAAAGACAGTTATTTTAAATTTGACATTTTTTCAACTGAATTTAAATAATAATAATAATAATAATAAATATACGGACGGTGACAAAGTTTTTATTTTCTCAATTAATTTAAGTTGATTTCTCACATTGCTTTTTTCATTATTTTTATTTATTTTATACAATGTTAATAAATTATTGTACAATAATTATTACATAATATTATCTACCATGTTTATATAAATATAATAATATATTATATATTTTATTACATATAAGATGAACCATATAATATATTTAATTAATTATAATTGAATACGTCTTATATATATATTACATATCACATATCAAATTTTTTATGTATGTTCATTTTTTTACTTTTGAAGAGATCGAAATAGTTATTTCTAGTAGGGGTGACAAATTCCGATACGACCCGCCAACACGACTTTAACACGATTCAAGGTAAGTGGGTTTGAATTGACCTTAAACAGGTTCAGATTATAAATGGGTTGACACAATTAACCAGTTTACTTAACTATGTTGTGTTAGGGTTTAACCTGTGTAATCTGTTTATACTGATTTAACTCAACGTGTTATAATCGTTACCTATTCAAACCTAATAACTATAGACAATTAAATCATTTCAACATAAACATTGACTACCCCTATTGATTTTTTCTTAAACATTTGATATTTTTCTTCATACTTTGAATATTTTGGTTAATTAAGACTCATATTTTTGTTAATATCTATTATTTGATTGAATATTAAATGTCTCGTTCTGGTAAGATGTCATTAAATAAGTTAACATGTATAGCCCATTCAATCAACAAGTCAGGTTAGCGTTGAGGGTCCCTGACACGATTATTAAACAGGTCATGTTTGGATTAGTAGAATACATTTTAACTTGACACGACACAATTATGACTCGTGAACACAAATTGCTCTCCCTAATTCTCATAGCAGAGCCAATGTAGGGGGTATGTTCCCCTAACCCGCCCACTATAGTATATAAGATATTTATTTATTTTTGATAAATTACACAAACCTTCTATATAATTTGCTATAATTACAGGGATCTTTCTTATAATTTGAGATATTACTCCAATCTCACTTAAAAAAATAATCTACACATGCATTCCTTTCCAGTGACGACCATCTACTACAATAACAGACTTGTTTATTTTACTAAAATACCCTAAACTTTCTTCCTCTCCCTAATTTTTCTATCTCTTAGGCACGTATCTCGATAGAAAAGATTATGGCCATTGTGAACCAATATCTCACCATTGTTGCAAACCCACACCAAAATCATCACTACCATGACCCAACATCTTAGCATCGTTACAAACCCAGACCAAGATCATGGTCATGACTCGCAAACACAAATTGCTCTCCTTAATTCTCATAGCAGAGCCAATGTAGGGGTATGTTCCCCTAACCCGCCCACTATAGTATATAAGTTATTTATTTTTTGAAAAAATTACACAAGCCTTCCTTATAATTTGAGAAATTACTCGAATCTCACTTCAAAAATAATCTACACAGGCATTCCTTCCCAGTGACAGACCATTAATTACACTAACAGATTTGTCTATTTTACTAAAATGCCCTCAACTTTCTTCCTCTCCCTAATTTTTCTATCTCTTACGCACGTATCTCGATAGAAAAGATTATGGCCACTGTGAACCAATATCCAACCTTTGTTGCAAACCCATACCAAAATCATCACTGCCATGAACCAACATCTCAGCATCGTTACAAACCCAGACCAAGATCATGGTCATCATGCAACATCGTTGCAAACCTATACCAATATCTCATCGCCGTGAACCAACGTCTCAACATCGTTGCAAACCCATACTAAAACCATCTCTCCGACCGCCGTGAACAAATATCGTTGTAAAATCCATACCATCGTCATGAACCAACATCTCCACATCGTTGCAAAACCCAGACCAAGATCATCACCGCCATGAACCAAGCCTCAACATTGTCGCCTTAATCCCAAACCTCATTGCCACCACCATCGTATATCACGTCAACGTCGTAATCGCCCTCAATTAGTACGGCATAATTGTTTAGGATCAGGCGAAGAAATTTTGGTAAATTCCTTGACGGCGATCCACCATCGGTCTCGGATACACGACATTTGGGTCTCTTTTACAAACTCTCTGAGATGATGAACTCCGACCTGAAGTCGATGGTGACCGCCTTCATCTCAAACAGCGAGAACTCGGAAAAGGCCCGTCGTCACCATCGCATGAGAACGAGTTTTGTTGTGGTGTTGGTTTTTGTCAAATTGAGGTTGGATTGGGGTATCGAGTAAGAAGAAGATGGATACTTTTGGTTTCAGTTAAAATTGATTCCTTGCAAAATCTCTTCGTTCTCATCGCAATTATTAATAGAGGGCGATCTTTTGATTCTTATCGCAATTGATATCTTGAAACAACTTATTCGGTTGAATTTGTAATTTTATGGTCTTTTAAGCATAAAAATGTCTTTGACTGCAACGAATAGTACTATGGGAATTTTAATTTACTAAGCACATGATATTAACAAAATTCATCATTAATTTACGTTGACTATTATAGGAGGGAAGTATATCTTAGTAATATTTCAAATCATAAAAGAGATTCCTGTAATTATAATAAATGATAGGCGTCTGTGAATTTTACCCTTTAGTTTTTTTTAATATATGTGGGAAAAAAAATTATATAATGTCTTTTATAAAAACAATTCTTAATTTTTGAGCAAAAGTGCAGTAAACAACTCTCAACTATTAAATTATTACAAAATGAACTCCAACTATCTGTTGATGCAATTAACACCTCCAACTTTCAAAGGCGCTCGGCTCAGGGTTAGTGATTTTCAGCTTTAACGGTTAAGTAAAAGATGTGTGCATGGCACGTGACGTCAAAACCAACTTTTCAATAACTTAAATACCCTTTATAAGCTTAAAAATTTCTCCTTTGTCACACTTTCAAAATAAGATTTTTTTCTCTCATTTATGATGGGTATTTATGCCATTAAAGAAGGTTTTTATTATCATGGGTAGATTGTGTAGTGCACACGTTAACGGTTAAAACTTGGAAGTTGTCAATGTCAAAAGGCAGGGGCAACTCAATTTAATTTAAAGCCTTAGGCGAAAAATAAGAAGTGATATTTTTTAACAATATAAATAAAATTAGTTAAAACTCAAAAACAAAATATACAAATATATAGACACACAAATTTATACTAACAACAACAGTTTATAAAATTAAAAAATAATTAAAGAAAAAGAACCATTGAATCTGATTTAGAAAACTCCAATCCAATACTTCTACAAATTAAGAAAAAGATAAAACATAAAAAAAAAGGAACATGGAAAGTTTTCGCCCATTTTCCCAAACATCAAATTTAAATAGATATTTAATATTTTACTATTAGTGTAACTTACCAAAAAAAGTTTTTAGTGCTGGTGGAAAAAATGTGAATGAGAGAGAAAGAAAAAGGGAAAAAAAAAAATTAATGATACAAATTTTTGGGCTTAATATTAAATTTCTATATTGGTTAGGATTTATTGTAAAATGTGAATGAGAGAAGAAAAAGGGAGGGAAAAAAAGTTATATAAGGGTGTAAATCTTTGGGGCCAATATTAAATTTATGTATCAATTAGAGTTTAAAGGAGGAGAGAGAAAAGAGAAAAGAGAAAAGAGAAAAAAAGGAGGAGTTATTTTAGGATATAAATATTTGAGCCATAATATAAAATGGGAGAGAAAAGATAATAAATAAGTTATTTTAGGATATAAATATTTGAAACCTAATATAAAATCGAAGCGAGGGGGAAAAAAAAAAAAATTTAGGATATAAATGTTTGAGGGCCTAATATAATTTTTTATTTTTTTATATTTATTAGAGTTTAACCATATTAAAAAATAATTATAGTTTAATTTAATATAATTTTTTTTTAAAATTTTAGAACCTTTTTATTGGCTGGAGTCTTAGGCGACTGCCTAAGTCGGCTAAGGACCAATCAGAAAATAGTTAAGGGATGTATTTTATAATTCAATAATTGAAGGGTGTTTATTATGTACGAGTCTTTGCAAAGTACTAGTAACTTTTTGCACAATTATTTTTGATTTTATTATACTCTTAAAAATGAATAAAACTTATTTTTGTTTCCCGTAAAAAAAAAAAAAAAAAATTGATAATGAGCAAAGAGAATCATGGGAGAACAACAAACCTTGAGGTCCCTGATGCTATTTTTTTTTTTTAATTATTTATTTTTATCATTAATCAACTAAATAAGAGAACTAACCCTATCTTTTGCATTATTTTTGATTTTCTGGTAACTACTGTAGTTATTAGTATTTTTTTCCTCTCTATAAGTACTCGTATATCACACAGCGGCAGAAAGAAAAACCCACCAAGTACCGTCGCTACCCAACTCTGCGACTTTCCATCTCCAATACCCTAAATTCACATCTGCCGATAATATTTTTCCGAACCCTACTATCGTAAACCCATTTGTCAGATGTCGACTTCCGGGCAGCCTCAGTTCCGGTACACGCAGACGCCTTCAAAGGTCCTCCATCTCCGAAACCTGCCATGGGAGTGCATCGAAGAAGAGCTCATCGACCTCTGCAAACCCTTCGGCAACATCGTCAACACAAAGTGCAACGTGGGCGCCAATCGCAACCAGGCCTTCGTTGAATTTGTGAGTAATACTATTATTTGTATGTAAATTTCCTATTTCATTTGATCAATTAGGGTTTTTTCATCGATATTTCATGAATTGTGATATGTCGGTTTGTGGAATTGTCTAAAAATAGAAACTTGTTGGCAAGTGGTTGTAGAATATTACACCGTTAATTATTAGTTGGTTTCTTGATTTTCCATATGTGTATAGATTTAGCGAAAACCATATTGGCCAAGCCAAAATGTGCCTGGAATTGAAGATCACAAAAAGAAAGAAAGAAAGTTAACCGGAACTATGAGTTGCAGTTCTCTGGTTACAGCTATTATACGTGGTGGTGCATTTAGCTATTTTTATCTTTAGAGGCAAAAGATTAGTCATACAATTAGATAATAGAGTGATGAGCATGGAAGCTGTATAACATTTATGGGATCATGATAAGATGTTTGTAGGTTCATTATAAACTTCTAAGCACATTGGTGACATTCCTCATTAAATTAAGTTTCATAGCACGTTTGACATAATTTGAATGTGTTAATGTGAGCCAAGAAGATGTCAATCTATGTGACCAAAACTTTTCTTGAAGCTACTTTTTCTTGCTGCAGTAGTAATGTGAACGGTTTAGTTTGTTTGTCAGTCACGTGCCTCGTACATCCATACCATTATCAGGTTGTTGCATGACTAATTTTCTGCTGGTTGCTAGGTTTGTTTGGTCGTAAATTTTCTTTGTCCACTTGAAATTGTGTAGATTATTTTTCTGGTTCCGTTGTACTTCTCTACAGGTTGCTGCTTTATGTTGATAAGGTGTCCTTTTTTCTTTTTTATGTTTTTGAACAGGCAGACCTTAATCAGGCCATTAATATGGTGACCTATTATGCTTCATCATCTGAGCCTGCACAGATTCGTGGTAAAAGCGTGTATATTCAATATTCGAATCGGCATGAAATTGTCAACAACAAGAGTCCAGGAGATATTCCAGGAAATGTCTTGCTGGTAACCTTTGAGGGCGTAGAAGCTGGCGATGTCACCATCGATGTCATTCACTTGGTAAGTGTCCTTGGGCTAAAAGTTATTAGTTATTACCTTTCTGGTATTGATCCGTTCAGATATAACAAATTGTTGTATTTTTCTTGCTGATCCAAACCGAGAATAGCTCGAGTCACCCTACATATGGAGTGGTTTTCCATGTCCTTTTTAATGCATTTGTTAAGCTGAGGTAATTCTTGAGTATGACTTGATACATCAACTCATTATTTGAAGTTTACACACACTGCATGGATCTTCATAAAGTATACTTTTAAATTCTAGTTTATTGTACTGCGTTCAGGAAAGTAGCTAGCCATGCTGCTAATCAAGTCGTACTTCTTGTTTGTCTTGCATAAATCATACTCTCTTGTCTTGCATAAATCATACTCTCTCCGTCCCAAGATACTTGTCCATCTTTCCATTTTGGGATGTCCCAAAAAACATTTCCCATTCCAAAATTGAATGTACTATTTTTTATAACATTCTCAAATTATCCTTTTAACTAAACAACTACACTAATTACGGAGTACTATTTTATCTTTTAGTAAGGGCATATTTGAAACTCCACTCTTATCAATACAATAAAAAACTATTAAAACTCCACTACCATAAAAAGTTGGATTCCCCCTGTAGGACATGTATTTTGGGATAGAGGGAGTAGTGTTTTTTTTTTTTTTCTTTTCTTCTTCTTTTTTTTTTTTTTTTGGTGGATACCCATGCTTAAATCAAGCTGTTAGTCTAATATCAGTAACAATATCAGACGGGCTTGTTTGAAAATTGATCAATGATTACAATCAAAACTTTTGCTGCTCGTACATTCATCATGTTCCAGTTGACATGTGATTTAATGCTCTAGGTTCTAGGATCTCTTCTACACGTCCAATTGGGGAAACTTTGTGGTAGTGTTATTGGATCAGAACAATTGTTAATTTTATCTTGGCCCTTTATTAGATATAAAACCTGATTAAATTACGTGTCAATTTTGATTGAGATCAGTTGAATCACAGATGATGGTCGTTCTTTTATAAATTCTCTTGTTGGAGACAATCTGGATTTGTTATCATGTGCATCCTTCTCCTTTCTAAGGTCTATCTTCTCGCTTACATTTACAGGTGTCATTCTGCACTTCTTTCTGATCCATTCATGTTTTCTTTCTTGTTTTGTTGTAATGTTCTGCTATGGTTTATGACGGTATACCATTTTTTTGTTCATTTCCTTCTCTACTGTTACTTGCTGAAATTTTATTCTAATACACCTCAGGTATTCTCGGCTTTTGGTTTTGTGTACAAGATCGCCACTTTTGAAAAGGCTGTTGGTTTTCAGGTGAGTTGATAAATTCCATTGGGACATGTTTTGCATTTGTATTTGTTTCTCTATATCTTCTCAAATTGCTGGTACATGCTGGCAGGCATTGATTCAATTCAGTGATGCTGAAACTGCATCTTCAGCAAGGGAGGCATTGGATGGAAGAAGCATACCCAGGCATGCACATCTTCTATCTCTCTGAATTCCTTCCTTTTTTCCCCATTTATGACCCCACTTTCCCACTTTTTGGCAAAGTTTCTAAGTTTGGGATCAATGGACTTCTCACTTTGGTCAATATGTGGTTGTAATTTTCAGGTACTTGCTTCCAGACAATGTTGGTTCATGCAACTTACGTATCTCATATTCCGCTCATAAAGATCTGAATATTAAATTTCAATCTCATCGTAGCAGGTGATAGTGGACTCATCAAGCTATTACTTTAATGTTTTTCTTAATTATTCTGTCTTTCCACATATGGTTTGGTTTTTTTAATCATTATTGTTGTATGTTTTTGTTTATCAACTATGGTCTTGCTAATTGATGTGCATGTTTTTTGTCATCTAGGGGTTAGTGAAGCTCGGCATCTAGAAACAGATGTATTTTGCATGGCCTATTAGTAATATTCTTCGTCTTATTGCAGTTGTCTGTTGCATTCCTCCAATTTTTGTGTAGTGATACATTTTAGAGTTCCTTAGTGATTATGAAGGAAATGTGTTAAATGAAGTGGTGTTCCTTCTTGCCTTATATGTTATCTAATTTGGCTGCTCCTAGGATTCGAACCCACATTTTCATGCTTATACCTTGAACATTTTACGAGTGCACCAAGCAATAGCCCCCTTTGATTTGTTAGGATTTGTCCTCACGGGGACTCAAGCTTATCCATTTATTAGCAAAAACCAAGATTACAATAGGGACAACTGACAAGAATCGTTGAGAGTAAGCCCTTTACTAATCGATTTGATTTAAATCTTATTAGCTTGTTTAATTTCTCTTTATCAAGATTCAATGTCTAGGTCCTTGAGCTTTGCATGTACAGAATTTATTTGGGTTATGATACACAACTGATTTGCCAGTCTTGAATGGTTTTCTTGGTGCTTGTTTTGTTCCAAAGGAGATCCCAGCATGCATCTTGTCTTGTCATTCTAATCAGCAGTAGTTTCTGTTATGCTCTGCTGCACAAGAAGTGTACTTGACTCTTTTCCCCCCGCTTAGGAGGCCTTTATTCTATGCGAAACTTTGCGGAGTTTGAATTGAGGTCAATTTAGAATGCAGCTGCTTTTAATTCTTTCAATAGGTCTAGTTTACTCTTAAGTGTTGCTTTATTGTTGTGGGAATAAGCAGTATATTTGCTTTTTAAAGGATCATTAAAGTGGAGTGGATTGAAAGGAAAGTTGCAGTAAATATGAATCTTTTATTTCTATTTTTTAATTTTTTGAAGTACAGATTGGATAATTTCAATTTCCTTACGTGTACATCTTCTTGTCTACAACTTCTTTTATAGTAATTGTATATGTGGAAATTTCAGTCTCGGGAACATTTTTCAAATGCTTTTCTTGGAAGGCAACTGGTATCTATCCCTATTTTTTTACCATTTTGCGGCTGAAATAACTTTTGAAGCCCTTTATATGCACGAATTTCATCATTGTTTGTATTGTCTCTCGCGAAACAGCAATAATGACATATCTCTATCTCTATCTCTATCTCTATCTCCGTCTCCATCACCTTCCCGCTTCAGGCGTATTTCAGCGATCATTTCTATGTAAATGTCTCTTTGTGTTGCTAAATGTGACGGGCTTCTTAAATTATTATATGTCTTCCACTCAATAAACTTTTGTTTATATTACAACTAAACAGATTGCCCCAATTTCCTGGCCTTTTTCTGTTAAAATATTATCCTCTCTATGTGAACTAATATTAAATGCTTCTTTTTCATTACAATTTCTACAGGCTATGCTAATTATTATTATTATTATTATCGTTTTCACATCTCATAGTTTGTCTTTAATGTTGTTCAAGTTTATTTTTATAATACTGTCAATAATGTTTGCTAAAACATTTGGAATTTGTTTGCTTCCTCCTACAGGGACTATACGAATCCGTATCTTCCCGTGAATCCTACTGCAAATGGGGGATTTGTTCAGGTGTGTTTTTTGTTTTGGGATCTTCACAAAATTTTGTAATGTATAATCACTAACAAACAGTAATATTTCAGCCTTCTGTAGGTCCTGATGGAAAGAGAATAGAAACTGAGAGTAATGTGCTTCTTGCATCGATTGAGAATATGCAGTATGCTGTCACGGTGGATTCCATTCATATGGTGATCAATTGCACTTACGTTTTGCTTGTAGAAAGAAATTTTTATTGGGCTAATCGTATTATAATGATTGTTGTACATCTATTTCAGGTATTTTCTGCATTTGGTACCGTCCAGAAAATTGCCATATTTGAGAAGAATGGTGGAACACAGGCACTAATTCAATATCCTGGTAGGTTTCCCTTCCCCCTTTCCAGAAAAGGGAAAAAAAAATTAATAATAACAAGAGAAAGAAAGAAAAAGTGAAAGGAAAAAAAATTCCTTTTACTTTTAGACTCCACTACCTAAACTATGTTCTATTTTCTTCTTAGGAGATTGCGATGTCCTGGTTTAAATGTTCTACTGTTTAGGTCTTTCATGCCAAGGGACTAAGATGCATTGGTGTCTTTCTTAGTTTCTCACCTTTAATTCTCTTGATGACTACTGCATTTTGGAACTTCGGAATTTTAGCTTATATGTGTGAGGGAATTATATACTCGTTTGATACTGAATTTGTGTGATTTTGAATTATGTGCCAAGTTCACGCCGGTTCGAATTAATTGGAGGCCTAAGCGATAACTTTACACGTGGCCTCCAACACCACAAGTTCCACTATCGCATTGATGCATTTACCACTGTAATTTTTTTCCCCTCTTTTTCTTTGGATAAGTTCACCTTTATCACCACACCATTGTAGTTTCTCCGACACTCATCGTATACACTCATATTACACTAAGGTACATTTTTTGTCACTATCTTTGCATATTTGCACAAACACATAACAACTCTCCCTCTCGTCTAGATGAACACGACTTGCACTGAAAAAATAATTGTAGACACTACTGCTCTACAACCACATGGACATATACACTATTAAACTACAAAAAAGTCAAATACCACGCCTATTAAAAACTTCATGAATCATAGGACATTGTATCATATTACACCACTGTAAAGGGCTAAGTGCTAGTTTATTGCACGAGGCTCCCGCCTTTGCGTGGTCTGGGGAGGGTTAGATCCCAAAATTTTTCAATATTTTTATGATACCCCTAAAAATTTAGTTAATTCACAAATAAATTTAATTTATGGTCCTAAAATACATTGAATATTTTAATTCCTTCCCTCCCCCCCCCCCCCCCCCCCCCCCCCCAATTTTTTTACAAAACACTTGTACATTGGCCTCAAAATCAAGAGTTTGAAAATTAATTTAACTCGGTGTCCTTTAAAACTTATAGAATTCTTTTAACTTTGGACTATTTTAAACATAATTTTGAAAGCCCAAATCTTGTGAAACATAACTTTAATTAAGTAAATATGCGCATTCATATTATTTCAGGAGAGAAAAACACACTGATGTCCCTCATAATTAATTAAAATGCATTAATTGTTTTGGTCACACACTTTATTCTTACGGTGTTACAACTAGAATTTTTAAAATTATATACCAATCACTATTGGTGAGTCTTGGGTTCATTAGGAAGGAGGAGAAACTAAAGTGTTGCAAGACTTAAATAACAAAAAAGCCAACAACAACAACTGAAACTTTCTACTGTCACTTGTTAAATGTCAAATTTGTATGGCTACTTCTTGTATATATATGTTACTATACTTATCAAAAAAAAAAAAAAGTATATATATGTTACTAAAGTAATAATTTGTTTTGTTAAAACTTGCGAAATTTTATTTAGTTAAAAATCTTAATCTTTCGTGAAGATAATAATAATGATATATTTTTTCAAAGTGGAATCAAAGTACTCAAAATGTTTTTTTTTTACGAATTCAATTTTTTAAAAATTGAAAGAATTAAAGAAAAATTATTTCTCTACCAATGATTTTTCTTTACCTCTTCTTTTTTTTTTTTTTTACAAAATAAATAGAAATAGCAGGGACAGAAAAAAGAAAAATGATCCACAAAAAAATTGGAGAGAATACACACTATTTTTAAAAAGCCTATAAAGATGCTCACAATAAAAAAAGAAAAAAGAAGAAAGAAAAGAAGAAGAAGAAGAAGAAAAAGGGGGCCATAGGTAGGGGGCCATAGGTGACTTCCTGAGTCGCCATTGAGCGGCCTAGTTAGATTAAAAAAGGAAAAAAAAATATATAATTTTTTTTAATATATAGTAATGGCAGAATGAGCCATAGTATTGCTAGCTTATTTATATTTTTAGCATTCATGGTCACATGGAGAGATTTTTTTCCCCCTTCATATTGGATTCCCAATAAGTATAATTTTCCATTTTTGATTTATTCTTATTTTTTATTGTTGGATTCCCAATTAGTATAATTTTCCATTTATGCTTTGTTCTTAATTCTTGATGATTCTTGTGGGTCATGACTTGTTTGGCTTATAATTGTGCATCGGTGTATATAAATGAGACACCCATTTGTTGACCATTTTAATCAAAGTGCATGCATGCAACTGTCTTTGTTTTGTTTTTTTTTCAAACTATTTGATGGAGCTTGTTGAATGATTTAAACTTGTTTTACTTCCAGATGTCACAACTGCAGCAGTTGCGAAAGATGCTTTAGAGGGACACTGCATATACGAGGGTGGCTATTGTAAGCTTCATCTATCATACTCTCGTCATACTGATCTCAATGTAAAGGTATAAAAATGTGCTTTTGAGTTCATGTTTGTGAGGAAAACAAAATAATAAGAGGAAACGACCTAAATGCGTCCTTACAAGAAAAAGTGGGTCAGTGTTGATTAAATAAGGATTTGGCCTTTTAACGTATGCTTCTTGGCACTTTATTCACCCTCTCAATTTATTTTGCTTGGCCATCTCTTTCCTCTATGTTGATTGTTAATGTATCTGGTTTCAGTCATACAGCGACAAAAGTAGAGATTACACCATCCCTGAATCAGGATTCCCTCCGGGAGCAACAGTTTGGCAGAATCCTCAGGCTGCTCCAACGTTTACTGGAATTGGGAATGAATTTGCTCCTAGTGCTTCTGTGGGACAAGTGCCCTCTTGGGATCCAACAATTCAGGCAGGCACACCAACCTTCGTTTCGGTTGGCAACACTTTTCCTGGTCAAATGTATGCCCCATCCTCTGTTTCTGCCTATGCCACTGCTCCAACTCCTGCTGGTTCTTCACCGGTTATGCAAACCAGCCAAATTACTACGAGTGTGCCTTTGATGGGAGTAGGTCAACCCGTGCATCAGCCAAATATGCGGCCTGGTGGTGCTTCTCCACTGGGTCAGGCTCGTTATTATAGCTAATAATAAGACGGAACAGTTTTCCTCAACATTAGCATGTTTCTCTGCATTTGTTATTATTAAATTATTTAAAGCATTCCTCTATGACTGAATGCTACCAATTTGAGGAGTTGGAGTTTCTGGAATGCAGCATTTGAAATGTTTCATCCTTTTTTTTTTTTTTAAAGGTATGACAGGTGTTGCCCGAGTGAGCAGTGTCCCCACACTATGATCCTAGGTTCGAATCTCCTTCCTCTAATCCACACTGAAAAAAAAAAAAATGTTCATCTTTTGATGTTTGCTTGAGAAATCAATGTGGTTTGATGGCATAGGTAAAGAATTTTATGGGCGGGTTTTGATCAGTCTGTTTTCTTTTTGCATCATTTGCATTCATCAAAATTGATTTATACTAATTCGTATGGAAATGATGCCAATGTTGGAATGATATGAGATTACTCTGGTGACGTTAGAAATTAGAATAAATATTGAACCTAAATTGGCTATGGAAATAGGGTATGAAAGGGTGGAGCTTACAAATTATTACAAGAGTAGGACAAAAAAGAAAGAAAGAAAAAAACTTTAACACAACTTACTTAAACTTGATTGTTTCGATGGATTGTTGTTGTGTGAAGTAGAGGATTTGGAACTGTTGGGCGTGGGTGAATGATAAGATCTTAGCCCAAAACATCAATGACAAAAATATTGTAAATTTATAAGAAAATAGTTAAGACATGTCAAGAAATAGTATCTTTACAGGAAAAAAAGGGCCTTAATTTCCATGTCAATCTAATAATACATTGCAAATTGCTCACATTTTTCTCTAGCCTTGCAAATATACATGCATAATCATATTAAAACTTCAAAAACCGGAATCCAAGGGTATGTGAGATAATGGAGAAGTACACATTCCAAAAAATGTTATATTAATCTGCCTCATAAAAGTTTCACAAATTAAAAAATTTATGTGTATTTGATGAAATTCCAACACGAAGAATTTTGTTATCATTTAGTAATAATGATTGAAAAACCTTCTTACCAACAATTTCTTTGATTTAGACTGCCTTTGTTCCCAACAAGAATCAGGCCAGGTAACACTATGAGTTTTAAAATCAAAAAAGAAAAATGAACCCAAACCAGAGAAGAATTAGGAGAGTTTTTTCTTTAAATTTGAAAAACGCAACCGGTAGTTAATGACCTTTGCCCCATCCTTTGAATCACACATAATTAATAAAGGGTTAAAATCATAAAACCTCTACCACTTTCAAATTTTGATCATAAAACTGTAAAAAAACCCCTATACTTTTAAAAGGTGGTCACATTGCCCCAATATTCGTATCCACTCGTTAACCGGGTTATGAAATAACAAATTTAATCTTACTATTTAATGTAAAATTAAAAACTAAAAATTATTTTTTAAAATTATAAAAATACCCTTTAATCTTCTTCAGAAAGAAATAATACTTTGGTCTCAGCATTCATACTCCGCAAATTCTTTAAGCGGCTAAAACTGTGTGTATTGTGCCAATTCCACTACTTGAAACTTAGCTTGAGAAAAGCAAAAGCAAAAGGCAATTAGCAAATGCTAGAAATTGTACATTCCAGTACCTTCATTTTACTTTAAAAAGACCATTCGCTCACTCAAATCTTTAAAACGACTCTTACACAAAAACACACACACATATAGAGAGACACAGAGAGATTGGTGATTTGGTGTTAGTGCCAGGGTACTTGTCAAACATCCCTTTCTCATGAGCATGCAGAAATTTCTTAAGCTACCCTACCCAAAATGCAAACCGACTTGAAGTCAGTTTCAAAACTGCCACGGCAATGATACAACACCCATACTGTTAAAAGCTCATCAATGTCTAGAGCAATGGAAAAACATGGATTTCGTTAGAGGAGACTAAGAGCAGTATTTATTGAATTGCAGACATACAGGAGCAAATAATAATAATAAATGCTCAAAATTTTTGGAAATGATACAACGGCCAAGAAGCTGATTAATGGTAATGTGCTTTTAATAGAGTTAGCTAATGTAGTGAAGACAACGTCCTAGATCTTTTTGACCTTGGAAAGAAGCCTACATGAATCATGTCATTCTTCATTGCAACTGCCAAACTTTAGGTTTTTCCTAATCGCAGAATTCAGCCAGTTGGGTTATTTTGCTTAAAGCATCAAGCACTAAGCAACCATCCAGCTGGAGGTCAACCATAAACTTTACCAAGCCCTTCACAGCATGAAGAGTTTTCTCGTCCGTAAAATGTTTAGTCATGGTTTCTAGTTGGAGGTCAAGTGAAATGGCAGGTTTTGAAGGTTGAGGGTTGGAGCCCCCAACGCAACAAATGGCTACTTGCCTGTGTGTGATTTACCAAACAAAAGAAGAAACAAGCGAAAATCTTTATCAAGTAGGATTTCAATGTGAAGTTGCCACAGCTTTTTACCTTGAATGATAAAAGGCTTATTGCTATTATTTTCTGTTCTAAGTCATTAAGAATATCCTCAAAATAAGACGCTAAAAATTAGAATGCATTTAGCTGCAAATTTATCTGATTCAATGTGAAAAAGTTAATTGCAATGTCAAAAGCTAACTAAAGATTAAGAATCTTATTCACCTGCAAGTATTGGAAATGTGTGTCATGAATCGAAATTTGCCAAGAAAAGGCTAGTAGGGTGCACTCAAATAATAAATTTTCTTCTGCAACATGAATTTAACTATTGTAGCTGAGAGATTTCTCTTGCAGCGAAGCACCAACTTCCTCAAGTTCTTGCTCAGAGAGAAGCTTGGTGGAGTGAACAAATTTTGTATCATGAGCTGAACCATCAATGTCCAAGTTTATAGGTCTCACAGAAAAATGGTTTTCCATTGCTTTTACTGTTCTATCAATAAAAACTTGTCTGGGCATGTACTCTTTCATTCGACATACAAATTCCATGTGGCTCCTAGCCTGCATGATATAGATTTCAAAAGTTGATGAACAATCAAAAGCATAAAGCACCATATTTTTAATCATCCAAGATGCTGAGAATATATTTTAATATAGACAAGATGTGGAGAGAGAGAGAGAGAGAGAGATTTATCAGATTTACCCATTTTCCCAAGCTCCCAATACATGCAGGCATACCAAGAATAAGCAATGAGTTGAGTTATTCCATATGCACCCAATTCTATGTAATACTGAGTTTAAATAAGGAAGAGAAACACTATGATACTTTAGAAATTCGTTACCCTTAAAATATATAGAAGACAATCATATGTAGATTAAGAAGATAACACAAACCAAAACTATTAATTTATCTACCATAATAATAATAATAATAAGGAAGACAATAGACATCAAGTCTTTAACTGCCCACAAATTAATCTTACTGTGCTTTTCTTTCAAAGTTTTACTAGGTGGACTCCCACATGTTGCATATTTGGCGGTGGTGGTGGGCATGGGTGTGTGTGTTGGGTGGGGCAGGGCAGTCCTTTTTTCTCATTTATAGGTTGGGGCTCTCCTTGCTTATTTGCAGCTAGAACCACTTATCTGTGCAAGTGCAGGAACTTCACGTTTGTGTTGATGAAGTAAATTTCTTCACTTTTTTTAACAGTGAAGATGTCTATGGCTTTCCTATATTAAAACTTTAACTCATCAACAATGTCTACATTTCTTCACTTTTTTTAACAATGAAGATGCCTATTTCTTTCCTATATTGTAACTTTTAAGTTATCAACAACATCAACATTTCTTCACTTTTTCTTAACAATGAAGATGCCTATGGCTTTCCTATATTACAACTTTAAGTCATCAACAATTTGTGTAAGACATTGCTGTTTATTGACACATTGGAGAAGAGTAGAAACATGACAATGGACCTATAGTTTAAGCAATTCAACATAAATGAAGAAAATGTCCGTCAAAATATTGTTCCTTGCTTGTGTCTATAATTTCTGCTGGAATAAATAAGCTAAAATATAAATTTATGAACATTAAGGGTATAATAAAGTGTACCCAAACTGTTATTTATTATCCTCCAATTTGTTTAAGATATAGAAGTTCCAGAGCCTTCAACATCGAATATGAATATGATTTGAAAGGTAAAAAGGAAGTAGCTGCTTCTATCAAAGAGAATCCACTTCTGTTGTCAGTCAAAATTAGCATGCCAACAATCTCTTCCACTTACAAAAGGGAAGAGTATTCACCCCATATGCAATAACCAATCATATAGAACAATTGACAGAATTTTAAAGAGAGCTCCTTACCTTGAACACAACACTTGCACTTAAAAGAACACACAAACCACACACACCCGGAGAGAGAGAGAGAGAGAGAGAGAGATTGTCATACCAATCGGTACTCAGGAGCCCGTGTGGGTAGCTTCAGGTAGGCCATATTCCTGGCTTCATAATCCCATAAGAAAGAAGTGTGGTGAATCCATCGATTTTTGGTTATAGATTGAGCATTCCCACCAAATTTCCGTTGACCAAACACATAATCTAAAAGCAAACAGTTATCGCTTTTAGTAACATTTTCTTAAGAAACATCATTTACATAGAAAACTTAAAGCAAATTAACCGGTGACTGCGGTATTGTCAGACAAGAATTGGAAATAATGGCTGTAAAACAATGGTATAGAAATATAGACAAAAGCTTTAAAAAATTTAAAAAGAAAGAAAGCTCTGAATGAAGGAAATGTAAATGTATTTATCATGTTCTTAGCTTATTAAAAAGTAATCTGATTGCAGAGCTCAAATGTTCATTCGGGAAATACTGTATGATGTAGAGTGCTCAACTTTCATAAGGTCAGATACACAATAGACCATCAAAACTTACACTAAATGCTTCCAGATCATGTGAGCAATGCTTTATCATCATCATTATTATGAACCATAAACAGCGTGCAACTTTAATCTTGTTTCATTTAGTCCACCAAAAGAATTTTTCCTTGGTCATAAGATGAAACATCATGTGTGTTTATATGTGTGCGTTTGAGACAATTGAGAGTCGTATTCATAGTCATGCATAAAATGTTGTCCCTAATAAGGACCATCTCCCACAGTCCAGCATAAAGATACTAGCATGTATGAAAAAACATCAAATTATCAAACGAAATGAATATTTACATTCATTATTGCGTGTCAGATGATTATATCAAAATATATATACATTGTTCTGTGCATTTAAGAAACATAGAAAATTGAACATGCTTGTACGTATCCTAGCCAATGTGAATCCATTTGTCATTACAAGAAGCACTTGACAAAGTAGTCATTTGATAGGTAGAAGGCACCTAGATATCATGCAATTTTTCAATCTAGACTGATTTAACAATTAAATCATTTTTAATGCAAAACTCAGTTATCGTACCATTCTCACGAAGTTTGAAGTCACCAATTCCTTGGAACACTTCATTATACAACAAGCCGCTCCAAGCCATAATGGGGCGGGGATATGGTTGCACATCTGGAACATCATCCTTATTGCATATAAGAGTGACAAATATGGTCCCATGATCAACAATGACAGTGCCTCCCCCGGTGAACCTTCTGATAACAGGAACTTGATCTCGTAATATAGGCCCAAGTTCAAGAAGTTCAGGAGGTTTCCTATGTAGCCAAAATTTATATTAATTTCTTCCATACCAAATTCAAATGTAAACAGATGCAACTACAAATTAGAGAGGTAGAAAAAAAGCCTGAAATTTTGTAGGGGTTGACCTATGCTTTAGCCAATGAAGTAAATTTAAGACCACAAGAAATCAGAAAACCATATATGCAGAAAAATGAGTTAACAATTTACACCCAAAAGTTAAAATGATTGACAATTTCATCATGCAGCCAATATTTTCAGTGACATAAAGAATGGTCCAATTGGAAGTAATAGGCGTAATTACTGTATTGTCTAGTAAATATTATTGTTTTTCCTAGTTATCTAGCATATATTATTAGATTGATAATATTTACCAATTACAATTTTAGATGCGCAAAAGAAAAAAAGAAAAAAAAAAACTCCTAGTATGCAGAAGTTTAAAATTATACAATTTGAGTCTTTAGTCACAACCTTTCCAACCAGGGGATAATATGATATATCTATATCGACTATCACAGGGTGCCAAACTGAAAATCATATCAATTTACTTCTTGTTGGTAAAAGCAACTGGTCTCTCATAAGCTACCGCATGCCACTCACTAAATAAAAGATCACTCTGCTGGAATAAAAAACTAAAAGAAAAATCTGCATTCGAACCCCGGAAAAGTGTCATGTGACCATGATAAAATAACTCATATACCCGGACATCCCCATGACAATGGTTGGAGCATTTGTTCCATCATTTATGATGCACCAATTATCTGCAGAGGTCCGAAGTAGCTGCTCCTCCAAGTGTAGTTGCTGTAAAATGGGTATTCCTTTCAATCTAACAAGATTCATCAATGGAAGCCCCAGTTTTCTAGCTTGAGGTATGGTCATTGATGACTATTATTGATAAGGACCCTGTACCTTCATGTTTAAAATTAATCAGGATCTGCCATCTTGTAATCAGAATTTATAAAGGAATCGTCATGTTTGATGGAAACATTAGTACAAGGCTTATTTATACTTGTAAACTTCAAGATTCGAGACGAAAGGCACATAACTTCTAGTGAAATGACTTTAACATCGCCACTCTCCTTCCAATGGTAATAATAATAACAGCAACAACAATTACAATAATAATGATTATTAACAACCAAATCGTTTGCAGTTTAGCTAAAATTTGTCCCTAGTAAAACAGCAACAGATAAACAATGAATAGCTTGCTAACTGAGAGCATACCAAAATGATGAAACAGACAACAGCTTTTTCAGTTTCTTCAGTACTTTATCTAAGTAACTAGTTAAGGGCGCATACTTTGCATGTGGTAGTAGATTAATACAAATTAAAAATCTTAAGGTATACTTTCTAGGAACAAGTTATTTATCAAATATATATATATATAAATAAATTTTCTAGGAACAAGTTTGTCATGTAGAAAGAAAACAGATTCTGTGAAAGCAAATAATCTAGAACTGCCCTACGAATGTTTGTAAAAAATAATGGGTGAAGAACCAATAACTGGGAAAAACCAATATATGTTTTGCGTAATCCCATTAATGAAAAGATGCCGCCATAAGTCCAATTTGATCACATTCAGTTTCCTTGATGGAGAAAACATGAAGTATGAATATCAGAAGAACAAAAATCAAGATATAGTCTACTTTCATGCCACTAAAGAAAGTAAGGAGCCAAATTCATTACGATTGTGAATATCATAAATAGAACTGTGCTGAGTGATAGAAATCCTGTTTCCTTTTTAATTGTGTAGATCAATATGACAATATGTTTATAGGTACTCACTGTTGACTGAGAAGAAATTTTTTAGCATTTTCTTAGATCCCCACTCCTCACATCACCCATAAATTTTTTCTATATATCATAATAATAAATAATAGGTTGGTCATCCACCAACATAGTTACATACATGATTCATTAACTACAACCTTAACCAGTAAAGTGTCGGAAAAACAAAATATATATAAAACGAAACAATATGCACATATATGCATACATGTGCATGTGATAAGAAAATTTTGACCACAAGTCACTAAATTAGTTCTTTGTGATATATTATTCATTAGTAATCATGTGCCAGAAAGCATAAATAAAAGGGGGAGTGGGGAAGATATATACCATATTTTAAATGATATTATAGCAAATCCTAGTGATCAATAACCTAAAATAGTTATATTAAGAATATGAATTTATCCTTCTTATAATTTCTCCAGCGGTGGTTTTCAGCTAAAATCGTAACATTTTTCTTTCTTTCAATATTTTATCTTGAATGGCAAGATGTTTGTCGAAAGCAACAGCTTTTTATGTAATGCGTCAGATAACATGTTTTGCATGAAAAGCATGCTAAGCAAATACTAGAACTCTTTATATGAAGTTTGCTTATTTCCTTCCATAACAAATAAGAATTAGAGAAACTCGTCTTACATGCTTGCATTAAAATTTCCATGATTATAACCACAAAAGAGCAGAGCACATGATTAAAATTAGCACAAGTAATGTTATTTTCTGATAACTCATACAGAGGTATGTCCATTCAATGATATATGATATATTAGCATAAGCTAACAATAACATCTTTTTATATATAAATAGACGAAACAAATGCCAAAACTCTGTTTATCATGTTAGTACAATCTATTAGTTAGTAACATGTGAACCAACAATTTTGTAGGATTGCCATCTGTTATTACTGTTGACAATCATAAGATATTTCATATTTGAAAAGTTGGAACTTTATTCTAATTCAAAACCATTTCCTTTTTCCAAAAATTAAGTCTTCTAGAAAGCAAAAATGTCCGTCCACATGTCTATTGGGCAAACCTAGAATTGGGATTCAAACTTATTCAAAACCATCCAATTTAGTCTCCTTCAAATATCAGTAGCATTCAGTTTCATTCTCATTATAGTTTTATATGGGAATGTCACTCTCTCTAATTGTTCCTTATGCCACTTCTTACACTAGACTTTCAACATTTTTTCAAAACACCTTTTCCTATTATAAGTCTACGTTTAAATTGTGACAGTTTACTGAACTCTTGGACCATGCTTAAAGAGAAGTGGAAGAGGGGAAAAAAAAGGGGAAAAGAAAAAGATAATTTTTGCTTGGTATTATTATATTTAAATAGGCGGTAATGGGTGATAATTTTTGCTTTATATTAATATAACTAATTCCTACAATATCTTTACAGATTTGGGTCTGAATCAGAAATATTTTTTTAGGAAGTGACAAAACAAAATATCTGAAATTGCTCAGGGAAAAATCTCTAGAAGAAGCACGAAACGGATCATCAGATAAAGGAAACAAAAACAAGAAGACAGATATAGGGTTCTGGCAACAACAGGATGCTTGTATGGTTATTTTGCCAAATTTTATGGACCGAAAAGAACTGAACAAAATGAAAAACCTCACATAAAATTAGATTGCAACCAGAAATTGGAACAAACTCTTCTTTCTCCAATTATACAACCAACTTAGAGTCCTCGAGTGGAAAACAAATTCAATAGGAAATTAGAAGAGCTGCGAAAAATGATACCTGAGTTTTGCTAGTTGTTGATCGGCGATTGTTTAGCCAACTGTATCCACAGGTACGTACAAATTCATCAATCAATCTAAAACATCAAAATGTTGTTATTAGGGTTTGATATTTGAAGATTTCAATTGAAAAGGCATCAATTGATTGATCATAATATGAAGTTAATATTGTCGATAATACAAAAATATGTACGCAATAATTTATAAGACTAATATGAAAATTTGAATGTACGTTGAGATCAGTGATGATATTTGGACTTTCAACTTGGGCGGCTTGTTTGGGCTTAGTTATGGTTAGGGTACACCGTACACCCGGTTTGGATTGGATCGGGTCTATAAAAAAACTGGAAACAATTCAACACAACAGGAGCAGATCTGATCGGATCCGAATGTCTCGGACCGGTTTGCGATTTGGACTATTTTACTGCACAGTAACAACATTTCTAACAAAGAGAAAGGGAATGAAGAAGATACGAAGAAATAACAGAATGAGAGATCGACTCAACAGAGTAGAAGGAAGATGAAGAACCGGTGATGGATGGTAGCCGGAGAAGGTGAAGGTCATTAGCAGCGGTGATGTATTCCGGATAGGGTTAGGTTTAACTGGGTCCTTTCAAAACTTTTCTATTTAGAGTAGTGCTATAAAACCCGACTGCAAAAATGATCACCGCCTCCAACGTCGATAAGTAGGCGTCAAAGACTTAAGATAGTGGGACCCATTAAAAGGTGGAGAAGGAAGAGATGATGGTGAAATTGGATCTGGATTTCACTGGGATTGGAGATCGATGGAAGACCCCGACGATTGAGAACCAAAGAAGGGAATAAATTGAAGAAACAGAGAGGGAAGGGTTTTCAGAGGAGTGAGAGAAAATGGCTGTGCGCAGAGGAAGAGAGAGTTCTGCGCAAAACACGTGAGTAGGCTCTTTATCTAGTCGGGCATTATATCATTTTTCTTTTATTTCACAGTAGTTATTCTAAATATTTCTATTAATTAATTTCCAAAAAAATTAATATATATTTCTATTGCTATTTTTTCAATCTTGCCCAGAAAAGAAGAAAAAAAAAGAAAAATAATAATCACCTTTTATTTTCCTAACAAATAGATGTAAATTTTATTAACATTGTAAAACAGCGTGCGGACAAAATATTCCATTGAGTTGTATAAAATTATCAAAGGTGACGGACATTCATAGAAAATGTAATTAAACTGCATTAAATAATTTTATTTTATATAAATGAGTTATTAGATCAATGGTATAACCTTTCACTATAATTTAAGATTAATATTTATCAATTTATTAATAATACTTTTTAATAACTAAATTAATTTATGAAATATATATAAATAATTACATAATAAAAAATAATAATAATTTAATTAACATTACCGAATCCAACGTGGGGACAAAAACTTCTTAATATGTAATTATATTTCCCTTATATGAAAGATACGATAAGGGAAATGAAGATGTATATGAAAGATAGTAAATAAAAAATAAAAAATCAGAGCAGAACACCAAAACAATAAAAGAAGAAGTCATAAAGAGAATTTTTTTTTTTTTTTTTTTCATCTGAAGCCTGTGATAAAAATGAGTGTAGCCAAAAGAATATTAGTAGTAGTATTAATTCAACAAAAGCTGGTCTCCATAAATATTACAAATTCATTAAAATCTATCCTCCCATCTCCATTGTTGTCAAAGGCCTTAATCATCTTCCTGCAATCCTCCATCTCTCCTCCATGTTTGAAGCCCAAAACACAGAACACTCTTTGCAACTCACTAGCATCAATAAACCCATCTCTGTTCTCATCAAAAACATCAAAAGCAGCCTTAACCTCCTCCAAGCTTGGCTCTTCCTCTTCGAATAGATTCGAAATGTCATTGGAATCAAACCTTCTCTCCTGAACCTTCTCTTCACCTAATTCAGAGTGGCCAAAAACCCCCAACCTCCCCATTACCATCTCAATATCCTCTCTACATAAATTTTCATCACTGATCTTCTCCTTTCGGCAGGGCAGATGTTTCGACAACAACTCAGAGCACTCAGGGTTCTTCTCCTCCCGATCAGCCTGAACTGCTAGATGGGATTGGATTAGAGAATTGGATGTCAAGAAAAACTCGTAAAATCTTCTCAACTGGTCCAAAATTACATACAGGTAGTAGTATTGAAGAAAGCCGAACATGATGCAAGAAAGTGGAATAGTGTCTAGTGATATCTTCTCCATTGGGAAGCGGTTTAGATAGGTGAGATAAATGGGTAATGAAGAGGGAGAGAATTAGAATTGTGAGAGGTGTTGATTTCAGCTTTGGAGGAAGAGGTTGAATATTTATAAAGAATGAGAGAATGGTGAGTGCTTGGAAGTAATCAGAACTTTTCAAAGGCGGTGGATGGGAAAGATATTGCTTAGGTGGTGGTGTTGGTGGTGGTGGCTTTGTGTGTATGGAGGAAAGTGGGAAGAACATGAAGAAATGGTATATGACTCAAATGAAATTGCGAGGGAAGTTTCTGCAATCCTGCATGATTGGAGACATTTTTATTTATTTACAAATTACAAGTAAAGGGCAGGCTGGCCTGCTTTCTTTTGACCATCTGTTTGGTTTATGCGTGAGGGTGAGGACATGACTGGAACACGCTGTTTCTTTGGGTTTGGTTTAGGTAAATGGATTCATGTGGGAGAAGAAACAGCAATGAAGTTTCTTGGAACTGAGCCCAGCCCACTTTTACTTGGGACATGACATGCAATTTCCATGTGGTGGGTTATCTATTTATATAAGTGTCACTTTGACCTCAAAAGCCAGATTAGGCACTTCATGAATATTTCTAGGAAATTCAGAGGCAAATGCTTAGGAAATTCTGATCAAGTCCTCCGAACCTATAGTCGCTTAAGATTTTGAAGTTTTTTGGATCTACCCTTTTTTTTTTTTTTTTTTTTTTTTTTTATCGCCATTTTTAGGTACATGGGATGGATTCAGATGTAAACACAAAACATGTTATGATCATATTCCTTTGGAAAAAATTATACACAAGTGGACTTTTGGGGGCCACATTAAACAATGGTGGAGTCAAAAAGAAATTTTTTCTAATGAATGGTTCATTTGGTGGGAAAGAAAGAAGATGAGTGAAGGACCAATAAGAGCAATTCCTCAGGGATAAAAAGGAACAAACTTTTTTTATTTAGTAAAAAAAATTATTAAATAAATCCCTTCATACATTAGTTGGACAAACCATTTCTCCATTACTATTCAGAATATATCCAAATGGGTAAAGGACTACTTATGGAAAGTGATGGGTATAATTGCGGGTAAAAATGAGCTAAACCTCTTTCTTAGAAAGGAACATGTTGCCTCCTCTCCATTTCTTTCATGTTTCCATCAAATCAAACAAAAAAAGGGAGGAAGTTACCCTTCCCTAGGATAGGGATGTCTCATCCCTCATTTAATCTATCTTTTCTATCTATTTTTCTTCTTTTATGTCAAAACAAGCATAAATAGACCTTTCAGAAAGAAATACCACCAATAACAACCATCATCAATCTTATTTCCAAATAATAAATTCCCCTGCATGAATCTTACTTTCATAAATAAATATAAAGACATGAATGTGTTTAGGAGCATCAGTTGGTGCCCTAATTTGGGGTACTAATTTTTTTTTTTTTAAATTAAAAATATGAAGTACTCTATTAGATACTCCCAAGCGCAACATTTTATTTTTATTTTTTCAAATGCAACATAAGATACAATTTTTCATGCCTATTATGGTACAATCTTTTACTTGAATGTTTTGAAGCTTTCAACTAGTTAAGAAGTAGTTTCTTCAGTGAAGTTGTGGGATGATACTCCCTTATCCTAACCAAGGACTTGGATCCTCTAAGTTGATTTTCTCTAAGTTATCATAAGTTGAATTGCTTGTACTTTACAAACATAATTCTAAGCAATAGGGAAGTAAGTAATTGGAAAAGGGAGAGTTTAAATATTGATGCTGCCAACAAATAGACCAGATTTCATAATTTGGCAACTCCTACTAGCTCCTTCTAAAAAAAAAAGAAAAAAAAAAAGGGTTCTTGTAATCTCTATATATAAACATATAAATGTACAATTGCACATATATACATAATATGTATATCTCTGCTCTAAGTTCTGGACCCTCAAACCTTCTCTCGGGATAATGATCTTTGAATGTGATGCTGAAGAAATGGCATTTCTCTTTCTAAGAGTTATGAAAACCCTAATGTGCAGAAAGAAGCAAATTGAAAAAGGGTTTTTCAAGGCTTGTAGGTAGATTTAGAAAATTAAAGGAATTGTAATCAGGAGAGAGAATGAGAGGAATTAGAAAGGTTTAGAGAGAGATCACAAGGTGGTGTTACAGACATAGTCATGGTGACTTTAATACTTTAGGGAATTCAAATCCCTAGTGTAACAGGTGGGTACTTACCCATTTACCCAAAAACTCAAATTATTAAGTAGTGCTACATATTCTTTTATTTATACATATTTCAGTCCACATTCAAATCTGATATGGGACAAGTCTCATTTGTAACTTTCTCTCCCTGAATCTGGGCAACGCCCTCGTTGTAATCGGACTACCCTGCTAGACCTGGATGTCCTTCGGGTCAGGCGCTTGGCGTGACACTAATTTAAAGATTATGTTTGACACTGATATCAATTGTAATAAATTCTACATGTAACATGTAGCCAAATTTGAAAAAAATTAGGTAAATTATTCCAACTTTCCTTGAAGTTTGGCTAAATTATTCTCAGGTTAAACTAGCAAAATAAATTACTCCCCAAGGTTGATGAACTTTCTCAAACTTTATTCCAATCACCCCAACCATTAACTCCTGTTAACGTCAGTTAAAATAAAAATAATAAAATACCAAAGATGCCCTCGTGTACACAATCCACTTGAATGTATCACTGTAAAACATTGATATGCCCAACAAATTTCAACCCTAATCGCATAAAACAGCATAAGACTATCGCCACACCACCTACACTACTTCTTTCCTTGCACCGTCGCCGACGTTGCCCCGTCCTCCACCACCGCCGACATTGCCGCCGTCCTCCATCACGGCCAACATCACCGCCGTCCTCCATAACCGCCGACGCTGCCCACATGTTGGATTGAGAGCAATTGAAGTGGAATTACAGGTTGGTGATGGGATGGGATGGGATGGGATCTAGCGATGATGTGGTGTGAAAACATAAGAAGAGAAGAGAGAGAAAAGTAGTGGTGGTGTGGTGACGGCGGCGCTGTGATGGCAATGGCAATGGCAGTGGTTGTAGTGGGTAGAGGAAATTAACAATTGGAAAATCATACTTCCCACCGATTTGTTGCGGTGGCCGGTGAGTACTTCAAAAGGGTTTGAAGCGGAGGGTATTTTTGTCAAACATTAGAAACTGAGGGTACGTTTTGTAATTGTATCTTGCACATCAGTTTGATTAACCCATGGTTAATCCGAGAGGAGAGGATGTCAGAGTAACTTTATCAAAATGTCAATTTGAGACTTGAGAATAAAAAAATACAGTAATAAAAATAACTAAAATTCCATTTTCAAATTTGCGTCAGTCTATTAAAAATATTGTTCCTGACCCATTATCAGTATTGTCTGGTACATTAAAGTCAAAAGCTACACTAAATAAATAAATAACAGGGAAAAAAATTTGGGCACGTTTTATTTAAGTACATGTAGAGCCAACCTAATGTCTCTTTCTTGATCGCTAAGTTTTACCTAAAAAAAATTTTGGCCACGTTTTATTTAAGTTCAGGCAGAGCCAACCTAATGTCTCTCTCTTGATCGCTAAGCTTTACCTAAAACCACAAGTGCTCGTTGCAAGTCATACTCTTCAACCCAATTGAGCAACTTGTACTTGGAGAATATATAGAAAGAAAAGGACATATATTAGGGAGTATGTTCACCAGGGGAGAAGCCAAGCGTTCCAAAATATTTCAAATTTTGTGGGCTAATTTAATAAAAAAATACTTTAAGAAGCCATATTTGCTAGAATGTAAATTCTTAAAAATAAACTCATAAAAAAAAACACTTTGAACAAAAATTATTACAAAAATGCTCTTAAGTATTTTTTGAAATTTACTAAACTATCCTTGCTCCTTTTATTTCTTCTCGCTATATCTGGGTAAAGATGAGTGTTTTGTCTGGAATTTTAGAGAGAGAAAAAAGAGAGAGGAAGGGGCCGGATTAAAGGGGGAAAGAAGGAACAAGGCTGGACTGTAGGCATTTCATTTTCTCAATCATCTTCATCATCATCACATCCTAGCACCATGTTCATCATCTTCTTCTGGCGACCCAACCGATGATTGTTCCGGCGACCCAATTACCATGGGCCTTGATTTATTGTGTTTATTTTTTCTGAATAATGTAAAACCTTTATTGAATAATATTAAATCTTTACTAAATAATATAAAACTTGCACTTAAGGAGCCTAAAATGGTCGCCTAAAATGGTCATTAGACTCGTGTAAAACATTCACTGCATTTATGTAAAATATTTTCTAAATAATGTAAAACTTATACTTAAGCAAAATAAATCAGTGTAAGGAAGTGATTCAAGTGAATGCAATGCAAATCTGCCAAGTAGGTGCAAAAATGCCCCTTTTGAATGCTTATATCTTACATTTGATTTTCGGTTTCTTAGCATGTATTGTGATGATTAAGTTTGGGCTGCAACTTCCAATTCATAGCAATGCAAAAAGATTATAACTCAAATAATTGATCATGCACAATTGTAACTGAGAGCCAAAGACACATATAACAAACAAAGAATACATATTACATTCACTGCATTAATGTAAAACGTTTACTGCACTAATGTTAAACTTTAACCGAATATTATAAAACTTCTACTTAAAAGAAAGTAAAACGGTAATTACATTAATGTAAAATCTTTACTGAATAATTTAAAACTTTCACTAAATAATGTAAAACTATCGCTTAAATAAAGTAAAACTTTCATTGCACTTGAGTATTATACGAACGTGCTTCCAGAATTGAGTTTCATTATGTGGGATTTGCCAAAAAATTGAGTTTCATTATGTGGGATTTGCCAAAAAAATGCATTTGTACGAGATTTGGATTGCCAGAATGGTAATCGTTTGGGTTGCTAAAATTGTATGGTGCTAAGATGTGACGATGGTAAATATGAAGATGATTGAGAAAATTGATTGCTTACAATCCAGTCTTGTTCCTTATTTCCTCCTTTGATCCGGCCCCTTCCTCTCTCTTCTTTCTCAACTCTAGGTCTCAGATAGAACAATCCTCTTTATCCCCTTCTTGAACTTTGCCTTGGGCCTGCAAAATGTGTTCTTGAATTTGAGTAACCCAACTATAGCTCGGAAAGGGAGAAATAAAAAGTACTTAAGGACAATTTTGTCTTCATGTATTCATGAACACAAAAAATGATAGAAATAACTTTTGCCTAAAGTGTTTTTTGATGGCTTTATTTTTAAGTATTTACATTCTAGTAAATATAGTTTCCTAAATGTTTTTTTTTATTAAATTAACTATTTTTTATAATACCCCTCAAAAATATATGATTTATAAATAAATTGAAATTGTGGTCTTAAAGTTCACTAAAAAAATTTAATTGCCACCCTCATATTCCCAAAATAGAGAGTTTAAAAATAAATTTAACTCGTATTCTTTAAAAACTTATAAATTTTTTTAACTTAAATCATTTTAACCATACTTTTGAAATAACAAATCTTATGAAACAAAATTAAAGTTCATTTTTATTGTGGTTCGTTAACTAAAAATATATCCACTTGTTAAATGACAAATTTGCATGACTACTAAACTGTTGCCTTTGTTATGGTTAATAAATGAAAAGGGTGGATTCATACACATACAAGCATTACAATTTACAACGATATAATTAAAGTAATTTGAAATAGAGAAATTAATTCCCAAGAATTCTTACAACTCAGAGCACAATTAAGTTGTCATTCAATAATTATATGAAAAATCAAGATATTTCAAATGTGAATTAGGACGAAAAAAAAAATGTGAATTAGGAAGAATATCTAGAATATGAGATATTTGAGAGTGATTCAGTAAATATTATACTATATGGAGCAAGAATTAGTATTAGACTCGCTTGAAGACCCGTTGACAGACTTGACACTCCAATTTTTTCTCCCACTAAACTCCCGTAAACATAATTCCTATCTTAAAATCACTTTACTCCCCACATATAATATATTTTTCTTAACAAATAAGGCAAGAATTAGTATTAGACTCACTTGAAGACCCGTTGGCAGACTTGACACTAATTTTTTCTCCCACTACACTCCACTAAACATAATTACTATCTTAAAATCACTTTAGTCTCCACAACTATCATCTTTTTCTAAACAAATAAGACACATAATGATTTTGAAAAGACCTGAGCCATCCACTCTTTGCCTTTGAAAGATAACACGATCTTTCCACAATTATTTCTAAAAGTATTATCATCTTTTTTATTTTTACTTTTCAAGAATAATTTTGTTATTTTTTTTATTAAAAATTTTAAAGTAGAATATTACATTGCTTCTAAGAAACTTATATAATTTTCTGACTACCCAAAAAAAAAAAAAAAAAAAATTAGTGGGAAAGGCAAAAAGTTTACGGAGCCCGTTGATAATTTAGGTCCTGTAGAAACTCACAAAACATTTCCTGTTCATAGATTTGTGCCCACCTTTATACAATTAGATACAAAATTATTTATTTTTGAAACAGAAATTAAATTTGTAGATCTTTTAGCCCCTTATGGCCGTGGAGTTGGTAAAACAGTACTAGTTATGGAATTAATGAACAATATTGCTAAAGCTCATGGGTGTATCTGTATTTGGTTACTTAATTCAATAAATTACCATATTGCCCAAAAGTTTAAAAAAAAAAACGCTTTCCAGATACCAAGTGGGAGAGCCTTTTTCGTAGTTCTCATAGCCGAGCCCTAAAAACGTAAAAACCCACGATCGGGCACGAGCCATCAATCTCTCGGTCTCTAGATTCTAGAACCTTTTTTGGTGAGCAAATAAGGATCCACCAAATCTCTTGTTTTGTAGTCCTGAGTTCGCAATTCTCATCCAATTTGAGCCTCATAAAACACACCACTTCCATGATTTCTCATTTAGTGGGACCTATTTCAACGAACCACAACACAAACCCCATTTGTTCGTTTGTCCATACTTTCTCCTTTCACTGCAAACTCTCAACACATACATATCCCTTCACTGCCTCTCTTTCTATTTCTCATCTCTCTGTTCTTCAATCCCGATTGCAAATTCGTCATTTGGGTTTGTTCATCACTAATTTTCCTCACCTGTGTTAGTTTCATTTTCCGCTACATTGCACTTATGAAATTTTGTTAGTTTAGTTTCTTTTCTCAGAGGCCAATCGTCGAACTCGTTAATGGCGTCTCTAAGGTCCCTTCCTTTTGTGATCGATACTGCGATCGACAGTTCCGCTCCTTTTCAGACTGTGTCTTTTTCTCGATCTAAGTTGCCTTTCTCTGCAAATCGTTCGAAAACATTTCTTGATCCTGGGGGTTTTCATGATTTAACATTTTGGTGTACGAAAGTTGTGGGTGAAAATATAACCAGATGTTCTTTACGCTGTGAGAGAATGATGGGTGGAGTCAGTGGAGGGAGGCGTTGGAGGATCAAGCGAGGTCTGAGAGCAATGAACAAGGGTTCTGGGGAAGGCCAGAATGGTGAAGAATCAGAGGAATCTCTTCAGGCCACAATCGAGAAGAGCAAGAAGGTTCTCGCCATGCAAAGAGACCTACTCGAGCAGGTATTTTTCTTTAATCATCTTATTTACTTTTAAATGTATTTCTATGGGCATGCTTGTACTCAATCTTGTAGGTTTTTGTCGTCGATGATGAACCTTGTTGCTTTTCGAGATTTTCATTTTAGTTTGATTAACTTCTTGGGTATGTAGGATATGTATGTCATCTAAAGAGATAAATGAGTTGCATTATGAGTTGTTATTGGGAACTGATTGGTAGCTAAACAATATTAATTAATGTTTTTATCTTGGCTCCTCTTTAGGTTAAAAAAGATGAACATCATTTCTTTCAAGAGCTTGCTGGTTGATGTTTATTTCTAATTAACATGAGATGATTCAAGAGGCATTTGGTGTTGGTGGACAAGCATTCTGCCATAAAAAATTGATTAAATTTATTTATTTATTTATTTATTATTATTATTATTTTAAATATTCGGGGTTGCAAGGTGGTGATGATGATATTGGGTTCTCTAATGCTGTTGAGGCTTCCCTTCTCTCTGTATCTGGATCTCCTTTCCAAGCTTTCGCATGAGCAAGGGAAGGCAGACATCTTTATCTTTGGACTGAAATTCTTGAGTTGGAACTTTGGGCTTGATGGGGTATTGGGCGCTTGTTGAGAGCATCATTCTGGCTTGATTATGTGTTTAATATTATCAGTCCTACTCATAATTATTTATTCCAAGATTCTTATCCCTGTTTCATTTTACGATAATGGAGTTTGAAATGTATCAATTCATTACTTTATTCCCAATTCCACTAGGTAGTTGAAGCTTGATCATGATTCATATGAAGCACTATGGTTTCCTCATTTAGTTCATATATTTTTATCTGTTGAAATTTTTTTCTCTTAATGAACATACTTCCACATTGCAGATTGCAGAAAGAAGAAAACTAGTTTCATCTATAAAAAGTAGTATTATTATTAACCCAGAAGATGATGGAGTTTCTAGTAAAGAGGGGGGCAGGTCTTTCTTGAACCAGGATTTTGCTTCAAGTATTGATGATGAGACTGATGAAGACCCTAATACCGACATTCTATCGAGCAGCAATATTCATATAACAGGAGATGAGGTGCCGGAAACCCAATCATCAGCTATTAATAATGATTTGGGTGACAGTGCAAAGGAACCTGAAAAGGACTCACCCTTTCCAAAGACATCCTTGGTTGCTGATTCCGACAGACAGTTGAAAGACACTACTCTTGAGACAGCTTGGTCTGATGAGCTGCCATCCTTTCTTTTGAAATCCTCTGCAACATCGGCTCTGAAGGATGAAAAGAAAGGAGATCTGAAAGAATCAATTGAGCTGCCATCCTTTCTTTTAAAATCCTCTGCAACATCGGCTCTGAAGGATGAAAAGCAAGAAGATCTGAAAGAATCAGGTTTACAAGAGTTGAATGGTGAAGCAAATGTTCCTGCCGGTGAAGATGTGAAACCTCCTCCCTTGGCTGGGGCCAATGTTATGAACATCATTTTAGTAGCAGCAGAATGTGCTCCTTATTCTAAAACAGGTATTTTACCATAAAACCCAAGATCTGAGATTAAAAAAAAAAAATCACATTTAAAGAAAAATTTCTTGTGTCACTTCTGGAAATCACATTTAAGCACAATCTGACTTATAATTCTGATTGTATTTTCATAAAATTACTGCTACATAAATGCATGCATGCCTTTTATCTTTGAATTTTCATCCTTCATAAAAACTTTTGTATTTTATTTATTAATATAAATAATTTATTTGAAAACCAAAAATCCAAAATTAATACGGGGAAGGAAGAATATATGGAATGTAAATTTGCTAAAGTAGCAGAAGATGACAATATAAATATTACATTTCGAGACCAAAGATTTACACAAAATAACTATTTTCGTTATTTGGGGTGAATATTGTAAAATGATGGGAAGATAGATGGTGATATAGTAAGTAGGATTAGAACGTGATAGACAAAATGGATGCAAGCTAGTTGTATTTATGTGACAAACAAATATCAAATAAATAAATAAATAATTCTATAGGACAGTTGGTAGACCAGTTATATTGTATGGAGTAGAGTGTTGGGCGTTAACAAAGAAACAAGAACAACAAATTCATGCAGTGGAAATGATGATGCTAAGATGGATGATAGGAGTGACTAGAAGAGATAAGATTATTAATGAACGAGTGGAGGGAAAACTAGGAATAATGCCTATTAATGGTAGAACTAGAGAAAGTAGACCTAAGTGGTATGATTATATACAATGTAGATTCGAAGATGCACCAGTGAGAAGAAGAAGACTAGAAGGTCAGTGACAAAGAGGCCAAATAAAACTTACATGGGAATATGGGATGAAGAAACTAAAAATAATTTTTAAAAAATTAAATGTTAGGGAAGACATGGTGTATGATAGGAAATAATGGAAAAAGAGAATTCATGTGGCCAATGCCATCCATCCATTTGGGACAAAGGCAAGGATGATGATGATGAATGTGGGGGGAAGAATGTTTGTCAGTAGCACTAACCCATTGATGCAAGCTAGAAGCTTGAGGAATAACTAAACCTATCAAAAAAAAGACTTGGAAAAATAATTATAATAGGATTTACTTTTAATGAGTTGCACATGAAAGAGAAAAGAGACAAAAAAAGGAGGAAAACTTTAGAGGGAAACAAAAGAGAGGGATAAAATAAAAGTAAAGCAAAACAAAATTTTCAGGTTAAAATAAACAATGCAGCAGGAGATGCTTTGTGTTGTCTAACAATGAGATGATGGACTGGTCTACCTTTGTTGTAGTGGCTTTGGGTCTTAACACCCAAGCCCTAGGTCAAGGTTTCAAGACTAGTATAGAAGAGAAGAAAGGAAAAAAAACGAGATGATGTTTCCCTGTCCCTCAGTCTGTTGATGCTAGCTAAATCCTTGTTCACTGAGAATGCTCTTGCAATATCTGTGCTCCCAGCTCTCTCTCTTTATTTTCAAAAGTATATAGAAATGGTAGTGTTCCACAAACTTTTTTTTATTCCAATAAGCAAATTAAGTCATATGTATATATTTGTAATTGTATTATGTTTGTCTATATGTGTATGCATTTTCTTTTGTATTTTACCAGATACTGATTTATAAAGAGTTCTCTTAGGTGGGCTTGGAGATGTTGCTGGGGCATTACCAAAGGCTTTGGCTCGGCGTGGACACAGGGTTATGGTAATTTTTTAATTTCTATCTGCATTAAATAACATGATGGTATGTGAAAGTACCTTTTCTAAGTATGGTGTAGCAGATGAGTAAAATCTAAAGTATTGAAATTTCACAGCTGGATATTTGAGTCAGGCTGGACAGGGCTAGGTTTAATACTCTATTTTTATCATTTGCGATACTGAATTTTATACATTTTTATCTCGAGGGTATATGATTATGTATTTACGTGAAATTTTTTATTTTTGTTTGTCAACATGATGAAACTTTAATGATACAATGAATTTTAAATAGCTTGTATTGAGAAATTTAGTTACAATTTTAATTTGCATTAATATTTCGAAGACCATATCAAAACCATGAGTTTTCTAGGATGTGACATTCGGTGTGGTATATCTTCATTTTGAACTCTTAGGTCGTGGCACCTCGGTATGGAGATTATGCCGAACCAAAATATGCAGGAGTCAGGAAAATATACAAGGTAGATGGGCAGGTATGCAACCGCTGCAGCACTTTAATGTGACTTATTTCCTATCAGTATATGATTTAACTTGTTGCAAGTTTCTGGTAATGTTTAACCTTGCAGGATATGGAGGTGACCTACTTCCAAGCATATATTGATGGTGTAGATTTTGTTTTTATCGATGCTCCTGTTCTCCGCAATATAGAAAATAATATATATGGAGGAAACCGAATGGTAAGATGATTTTCTTCTTGTGATGTTAGCCTTAAGTAGTCATCCAAGAGGGATAGTCACAGTCTTAACAAATTGATGATCTCATTTGATATATTTTATGGTCTTACAGATTAGACCTATAGTTTTATGCTTCCCAGTTCCCGCTAAAAATTATTTTGATTCAAATCTCGACAGAGTGGTCCTTTTTCTTAGTTTTCCTTCTCTTCTTCCTTTACAATTTCAAAGAGTAAGCAGATTGCTACAATCAGCTACAGGTTTTTGTAGATGGGTTCTCCTAAATATGCTACATCCTGATTCTATTTATCCGATGTTGCATTTTTGTAATTTTAGATATATGTGAAATCTGAGATTCCTTTTGTCGAGAATTGCATTATTATTGTTATCCATTTTAAGATTTTATCAAATCTCTTTTGTTTCTCATTGGTGCAGGATATTTTAAAACGCATGGTTTTATTTTGCAAAGCAGCTGTTGAGGTACGATTTTATATCAGGATTTAGAAAACATGATTCAGGAAGAATACCAAGGCTTCCTGCTTATGACGTGTCAATCCTAGCAAGTTATGTTTTAGATTAATGGCATATTAAAGCATTTGTTTATATGATGAATAATCGTGCATGGAATTTGCAATTATAGGGATCATAGAAGTATCAATTAGTTGACCAGGAGAACAATAATAGAGATTATAGAAGTATGAATTGGTTGACCAGTAGAACAATCAACTCTACTGTTATTCTTGAACTTAAAACCAACTCGAGAGGCTCTTATATGGTAAAATAATAGCAAAAGATAAAAGAAAAGGGGGTGCAGAAAAGAATGCTAGATTTTCATAATTCTTAGGTATCGTATTTACAAGTTCTTGAGTGAGATAATCACCCGTTGGTAAAGTTAAGCCACTTAGAGCGGAATGAAAAAATAGGATTCATGTAGCCAAACTCAAGTAATTGGAAAAATGCCTTGTCTGTTAATATTATTGAATAGATGAAAGTTGTCATACTGCATAGGTGTTTATACTGCTACTGCTCTGTTTTAGTTGTAGATCATTTGTTGATGCACAACAGTTAACCCCGGTATTATACCCTGTTGAATTACCTCATTCTGTCTTCTGATCTGCCAAATTGCTATTTAACATTGAAGAACTGGTGCCTTTCAGGTACCTTGGTATGTCCCATGTGGTGGGATCTGCTATGGAGATGGAAATTTGGTTTTCATAGCAAATGATTGGCATACAGCACTTCTGCCAGTATATCTGAAAGCATATTATCGTGACAATGGACTTATGGAATATACTAGGTCCGTCCTTGTGATTCACAATATAGCTCACCAGGTTTGTTCTCTAAGCTTTTATAAGTTTTATTATTATTATTAGGGTTAATTGCATTAAACCCTCCTTAACTATCACCGGATTTCAAGAACCCCTCTAAACTGTAAACTGCCCCCCTGAACTAACAAAAATATACACTTAAGGACATGTCATCAAACAGACGTTAACAAACAAATGATATGACCGTTTTGCTCTTATATGAAATGACGTCGTTTCATGGTTCTCTTTCCAACTCCAAACCGGTTTTGTCTACTCATCTTACTAGCCTTATCCACCTCAACCTTTATACACACACATATCCATATACACATACAAACCAAAAGTACTGAGTTTAGTTTATTTTATTTTTTAGTTTGGCTGGCTGGAGAATTTCTTCAGATCAAGGAGCCGCAGGTCAATCACTTGTTCTCTCTTTTGAGATTGACCTTCTTACCATCTATCTATCTTTCCAATGGAGTCCAAGGGAGCACTTGGGGCCATTCTTCCCTTCCCCACCCTCCATCCTCAATCTCTTCTTAAAAAAACTCACTCCATTTCAAGACGCATTAGAGCTAGTGAACGATTCCACAATTGTTATCTTCAACTTTAACATTTTTATTCAATTCTAATTGTAAAAGGCCTTAATAAGGGGTTTTTGTTGTATTTCAATTGGGTAATGATAGAGACAAATCTTCCCAAGTTTGTGGTTCTCCAATGGCTTTAAAATGGGCGAAGCCATTGTTGAAGTTTTCATGAAATAATTTTCTTCCATTAGGTAGTCATATTCATTTCCATGGCAAGGGAGCACTTATTTGGTGCTTTTCATTTTCTTCAATGCTCCACCGCCAATTTGAAGACTGTGTTCGAGTCACCGAAAACTCAAATTCCCATTCTCTGACAATATTTGGAGATGAATTTTTTTTAGAGAGAGAGAGAGAGCTGACTGGTGGTTAGGGTTTGTTAAATTAGGGGTTAACAGACATGAGTGCCAATTTCATCATTTTAAAATTTTGCCCATTCACGCGACATGGATACTCATCATACTCAATTCACTGTTAGATTTCAATGGCCATTTAACACGTTAGGGGGTGTTGGTCTAAATAGTAGTTCTGGGCTGTTTCTTCCTAGAGAGAAGAAAGTTTCCACACCCCCGCGCGCGGGGGTGGTGGGGTGGGCGGGCTAATACATTTATAACCCTTATTATTATCATCATCAACAACATGGTCTGATGCATAACTCTGTGCTAACACATTAGCACAAAGCTTTCTCCAAATTTGTTTCAAAATGGTCAACTTGACTTCTGTTTTCCTACCATCTTTTTTATTCCTTTGTTGGAATTTAAACTGGGTTAAAGAATGAACAAGAAGTTAGCATTTTCAGTTGATGTTTTCCCACACAGACACAATCATCAAGGAATTTTTACATTATATGTTTTGTAGATACACCCTACATTTCTTCTGTCTCTTCCTCAAGTTGCATGAGGTTTTATGTAGTGGGTGTGCCTACCTCATTGGAATGTTTCTTCTTATATTCCTTTGCATATGCAGACATATACAGATTACTATCAAGCGAAATGCTTATATTCCTTATAATAACTAAAAAGTCAAATTGGGATTTCAAATTGCTTGAGCTTGTATGGAGTGACCATGCCAACTCATGCATGATCTTCATTGAACACGTTATCATCATTTACCTGAGTATTGAACCATCAGTAGATGTTCCTGTACAATTAAGTTTTAAAACCCGAAAACGACCTCATATAAGAACAAAAAACAGTGCTAGTGATATTAGAAGTACGCTTTAAACTTTCCACAGGGTTTCAGACAGTTGTATAACCGCATTTTCTGTAGGAAGTCTCTAAAGATAGTTAAATTTCCAGGCTATTATACAATAACCTTGATGTGATTCAGAACATTTGAATTTTCTCTGTGGTATTAAATTTTAGAAATGACGTGAGGACATGTTTAGGCATCCAATGGATATCGAATCATTTAATTTTTTTCTGCATTGCATTTGAGTTGGTGCCTTTAGTAGGCATAGTATTTCAGGTACTTGCAATGGCTTCTTTAATTCTTTATGTTCAAAACAAGAAGATTGTTTAGATCCGATCGGACTAACATTTGGACCAGAAAAATCCATGCCCGTAAAATAAATAATTACAGACATGGCGTAATCACCACTTATAATGTGAAATGATAGTTTAATCCTCTGTAGTTCTTAAACTGGTCCTGGTCATAAGATCGACTTACTGCTGTACAGTATTCTGAGAAAATTCCTAGACATCACCATTCATTTCTCTATTCCAAGTATTATTCTTTAGCATCAGGATGTCTCTTTTTCTTGTATTTAGTTCATATATTGCATTCAGGGTCGCGGTCCAGTGGATGATTTTAAGTACGTGGATCTTCCACCACACTACTTGGACCTCTTTAGGCTGTACGACCCAGTAGGAGGTGAGCACTTCAATATCTTTGCAGCTGGTCTAAAGACAGCGGACCGTGTCGTTACAGTAAGCCATGGATATGCCTGGGAGCTGAAAACTACCGAAGGTGGTTGGGGTTTGAGTGGGATAATCAATGAGAATGACTGGAAATTGAAGGGGATTGTGAATGGGATTGATACAAAAGAGTGGAGCCCACAGTTGGATTTTCATTTGAAATCTGATGGTTACACTAACTACTCCCTGGAGACCCTTAAGACTGGAAAGGCCCAGTGTAAGGCAGCATTACAGAAGGAACTTGGCTTGCCCATTCGTGATGATGTTCCATTGATTGGTTTCATTGGGAGGCTGGATCACCAGAAAGGTGTTGATCTGATAGCTGAGGCAATTCCTTGGATGATGGGTCAGGATGTGCAGCTGGTCATGTTGGGCACAGGGAGGCCTGACCTTGAACAGATGCTCAGGCAATTTGAGGGTCAACACCATGACAAAGTCAGGGGATGGGTGGGCTTCTCTGTAAAGATGGCTCATCGAATAACTGCTGGTTCAGACATTTTGCTGATGCCATCAAGATTTGAACCTTGTGGATTGAACCAGCTCTATGCTATGAACTATGGGACTATTCCAGTTGTTCATGCTGTTGGTGGACTTAGAGATACAGTGCAGCCTTTTGATCCTTTCAACGAGTCAGGGCTTGGGTGGACATTTGATAGTGCTGAGGCGAACAAGTTGATCCACGCATTGGGGAACTGCTTGCTGACTTACAGGGAATATAAACAGAGTTGGGAGGGGATTCAAAGACGTGGGATGATGCAAGACCTCAGCTGGGACAATGCTGCTCAGAATTACGAAGAAGTCCTTGTTGCCGCCAAGTACCAGTGGTAGAGTTTTGGTACTCAATGGTTATAATTGGGGGCTTTTGGCATGGTCTATCTGCTGCATAGGGTGATATTTTCGGGGTTTATTCGTGCTGGAACTATCCTATTCTCCAAGCTTTTTTGAGGAAGGAAACTGAGATGGTTGCTAGGTAAATGGTGTCGAGGGTATTGCTTTCACTTCCACCCCCTCCTCCTCCTCCTTTTTTTTTTTTTTTAGGCTAGTCAAGATACTTAAGTGTATCCATTGCTGGGTTTATTTTTGACCAATTAACTATTTCTTTTATAGCACAATTCTGTCTTAATTAACCTGAGTCGAAATTCGACTACTGTTTCTTTTTTGGTTTTGACAAGTAGTAGGATCATATGCATTGATTAATGGTCTCGTAGCTGGATTAGCTATAATTGCACACTTGTAATTTTGCTATTTCAATGTATAGATTTTATTAGCTCTTTGTGGAAATGTTTTGCTGTTAGGTGAATCAGTTTTGGTAATGGATTATGTATTCACTTGCTCCATTTTCTTGTTGTCCATGATGTGTCAATGTTATGTTGAACTATAACAAAGTTCAACTTCCTGTATTTTTCCTCAATTATGTAGTAGAGGGCTGCAGCTTTGGGTGCGCTACAATTGATGCAGTAAGAGTAGAGCATTGGGTGTTTGATTTATGGCAAGCTATGGTTTGAGAAGTGCAGATTCATAATTTGTTTGCAACAATGTTCTTGTCATTCAATTTGTTTAATTGATACTTTCATGTGTTCAAAACCGGCTAGTTTGTTGCTTGAGCTTCTCTCGACCTCGTTGCTGTGTTATGAGAAACAGAGGAAGAACACGAGCACGCTGGAAAGTAGAAATGGTGCCTAAGGAAAATGATATTTAGTCTCCGACTGTATCAAAACTTGGTGCCTAATCATAGTGTCTCTCAAGATGTTTCTCATATATCAATTTGTGGCTACCAGATCTTACACCCCAAATTCCTAATTTAATTAAAAAAAAAAAAAAAACAAAGGTGAATTGCAAAAAAAAACTCTTCCACTTTCACCGGTTTGCAAAAAAAAAACCCTTATGAATATTTTTAGCAATTAACCCTCCTCAACTATCATGAGGGGGGCATTTTAATTAATATCCATTTGAGTGATTGTGTGAGAATTTTTTTTTGACAAAATTACCCTTAACATTAAACATCCATTTGAGTGATTGTGTAAATTTTTTTTTTTTTTTGACGAAATTACCCTTTAAATCAAAACAATACATTATTACTAAAGTACCCACTACTTAGTACTCTTTTTTTTTTTTTTTTTTTTTTTAGCACTCAAACGGATAGTTAAAAAAACTTTAATTAAAGACCCAAATGACAATAATCTTCCAAAATGAAAGAAAGATAGCTGAAAATTTTCATTTGGGTCTTTTTTTGCCTTTTGCAGGTATATTTTTTGGTCATATTTTTTGGACATATATTTGTCAGAAATATATAATTTTGATGTGTATTGTTTTTAGTTATGAATGTATTCAAGTGTTTTCATAAACAGGTTGGATTCATTTATGCTAATGGATGCTTGGACATATGTCTTATAGTTGTTAATGATGTAAGTTAAAGTTTTTAGTGGACAAATGGTTGCTTGTCAATTATGAATGTATTGAAGATTTTTTTTTTTTTTTTGGAGGATGTTTTTGAATGTTTTGTCAGCAGGTTGCATTCAACTATTGTTTGGTTACTAAAATATGCAAGATTCAGTAAACAATCACTCTGATATTTCATGTTAAGCGTAATTTTGTCTGAAAATTTTTATAGGTTAGTTAAAATGTTTCCTCGTGATAGTTGGGGAAGTTAATTGTTAAAGATATTCTTAAGGGGTTTTTTTGCAAACGAATGAAAGTTAAGGGTGATCTTTTGCAATTAATTAAAATAAAATCACTTGTAAACTCATTTATTAGGGGACTTACAAAATCAAATAAATGTTATTTTTTTAAATCCACTCTAAAGACTCAATCATGGATAATATGGAATATAAGCTGAGTTGACTCTGCACAACCGTTGGATCACGCTTTCAAGTCCACATAATCAATCCAAGGGCTCAGAGTATTCTCGTAAGCTATCTTAGGAGCGAAGCTTCTAGACTTTTCCACCTCCTTCTCTACCTTTCCTTTCTTGCTTGTATATAGAGTAGTATAATACTCCTATATAGTATGTCATTTCTTTTCAATACCCACGACCATTAAATATCTAGTATTATACTACAGTTTGTGAGAAGCTTTCTCTGAATCTCTAGGGTTCTCTAGGGTTGTGATGTCAATGGAAATAGACATGTTTTCTTGCTTGGTTATGTTTTTTGTTTTTGGTGTGTACAGAAAAAATAAATAAAGATTTCTTTTTAAATCAACTTTTGTCTGAAACTTTCAATTTTGTGGATCTGATACAAACGCCAAAGCTCTAATCCCCCCAGCATCCCTTTGCCACTAAATTAAATCTACCTAGGACAATTAGGTATGCACAAGCACTCAGATGTGTTGATGAGTTTATGGACAATATGCAGGACCCACCACTGACTCTATGATGTAACCCACACAATATATATATATTTATTCGTAACTTTTTGTGAGATTATGAGGGGGAGCAAAAAAACACAAAAGACAAAGCCTTCATTTGAATGGAAAGATTTGGGGACTTGAAAAGAAAAGAAAGGAAAAGATAAGAAGTGTTGTATTTGGATGAGATGATTTAAAGAGGAAAGAAATGATTTGGAAGGATTTTGGCAAATTTTTATTTGGAATTCCTTCAAAATTGACAAGATTTGGAGGGATTTGGAGAGAAAGGGAGCTAATGACAAAAGTATCCTTCCTAGGATGTTGATGACCATAAGCTTCTTCCACGAGTTGGCAGTTGCAGAGAGAGAGAGACAGTCGGTTGAAGCTTTGCGAACGACGACCAAACTGGAACAGTGAGTGATGGAAACTAATAGATATGGGTTTTGATTTGTTTAACAATCTGAAATGATATGCAGTTATGGGTTTTGATTTTTAAAGAGAGAGGGGGGGGGGGGGGGGGGGAGAGGGAGAGGGGGGGGAGGCTGAGAATGAGATGGAGGCTATTGGGGAGGCTGAAATATATATATATATATATATATATATATATATATATATATATATATATATAGTTTGCAGTTGCAGAGGAGAGAGTTGCAAAACAAGAATTACAGACCTTGATTAGTTGATTTTAGAAAAAAATTTAAAATAAGGCTGAACTAATTTTGCCCTACTAACCCTACCAAAAAGGGTAAGATGGTAATTTCATTATTATCATTTCACTTCTCTCTCCTTTGTGTTATCCAAACAACAATATTGCCAATTCATTTCTTTTCTCTCCTATTTATCCAAACATGAATATAAATTATAACTATCATTTATTTTATTTTCTCTTGTAATCCTTTCCTTTCTTTTCTCTGTATCCAAACGAAGCCAAAAGGTTTAAAGGTCTTTTGGATTGTTTTTTCAAACGTTGCTTTTGATTGTTTGGGTTTAGAAGTTGTTTTGTGTAATGTTTGGCTAGTTTTTAAAAAGAGCTTTTTGGACTTAAAAAAATGGTTTCTCCAAAACGCTTCTCTAAAATACACGGGAAGAGTTTTGGGGACATTAATGAAACTTTTTAAATGACAAATGTACCCTTTATATTATCTCATACAAAATTATAATTCCAACCGTATCCCTATAAAAAAAAAAAACCCTTAATTCTATTTCCAAACCTTAATGTCAAAAAAAACTCGCATCCGTGTTCCCTGCAACATATCCCTTCATACTCATAAGAATGATCCATCAAGCATTCAACCAGAGAAAAAAAATTAAGAAGATTATTGTTGGGGGCAATTCTTTCTTTATTATTCAAGTTCGAATAACTCATTAAATTGCAGAATTCTAAGCTAGAAAGAACCGGTGGCTATGTTCCTTCAATATTCCAATCTATAATTTGGTATTTCTTCTTTGCCTTTTTTTTTTTTTTTTTTTTTCTCTAAATATTTTCGAAACTCCCCGACGAACAATCACTAACTTTCATAAGAATACTCACCATATTTCAACGCTCCATCTTATCGTCACAAATCTTTAATTTTTTTTTTTCACCCTCAAATTGATTTCCCTTTTGTTGCAGCAATGGATTCCAGTTATTTACCCAAAAATAAAGTTGGCATAGTTTTTGCTTTTGCTTTTACACAAAAAAAAATAGAATCATAAGCTATCACTTCTATTTTGTAACGACCCACTCCACCATATGGTTTGATATTGTTCACTTTGGGCCTGAGCCCGCACGGTTTTGCTCTTGGGCTTTACCCCAAAAGGCCTCATACCAATTGGAGATGATGCACTTACATATAAGCACTTTACTTTTCTTCTACCTAGGCGATGTGAGACTTGTGCACCCGTAGCTCGCCAGTGTGGTAGCCTGTCAGTGTCTCTCGCACCCGCTCACGGCACACCTTCCCACAAGGTCATCACAATCCACCCCCCTTGGAGGCCCGACGTCCCCGTCGGCACACTTCCGGCTGGGTCAGGCTCTGATACCATTTGTAACGACCCGCTCCACCACATGGTATGATATTGTCCGCTTTATGCCTGAAGCCCAAGAGCAAAACTGTGCGGGTTCAGGCCCAAAACGGACAATATCATACCATGTGGTGGAGTGGGTCGTTACAAATGGTATTAGAGCCTGACCCAGCTGGAAGTGTGCCGACAGGGACGTCGGGCCTCCAAGGGGGGTGGATTGCGATGACCTTGTGGGCGGGTGTGCCGTGGGCTGGTGCGAGAGGCACTGTCAAGCTACCACACTGGCGAGTTACGGGTGTACAGTCCCACATCGCCTGGGTAGAGGAAAGGTGAAGTGTTTGTGTGTCACTCCAATTGGTATGAGGCCTTTTGGGGTGAAGCTCAAGAGCAAAACCGTGCGGGCTCAGGCCCAAAGCGGACAATATCATATCATGTGATGGAGTGGGTCGTTACAAATGGTATCAGAGCCTGAGCTAGCCGGAAGTGTGCCGACAGGGACGTCGGGCCTCCAAAGGGGGTGGATTGTGATGACCCTGTGGGCGGGTGTGCCGTGGACGGGTGCGAGAGACACTGACAGTCTACCACACTGGCGAGCTACGGGTGCATAGTCCCGCATCGCCTGGGTAGAGGAAAGCTGAAGTGCTTATATGTAAGTGTGTCATCTCCAATTGGTATGAGGCCTTTTGGGGTGAAGCCGAAGAGCAAAACCGTGCGGGCTCAGGCCCAAAGCGGACAATATCATACCATGTGGTGGAGCGGGTCATTACAATGGTATCAGAGCCTGACCCAGTCGGAAGTGTGCCGACAGGGACGTCGGGCCTCCAAAGGGGGTGGATTGTGATGACCTTGTGGGCGGGTGTGTCGTGGGCGGGTGCGAGAGACACTGTCAAGCT